TTTCGATTTTATCTATAAATATGATAATTTTTGTATGAAAATTAAAAAAGTTAACTGTGGTATTATTAGATAATAATTAACTAAAAATTGTAACCGAATAATTTTTTTTTTTAATTGCTAATTGTAAGAATGTCGTAATTTATTTTTTCAATAAATAGAGACAGTAATCTATTTAGAATTATTGAGAGAGGATATACATTATCTCACATTCCCTTCAAATGATGTTATATTTATTAATATGGCAAACAAAAAAACATAAACTAACTTTAAAATACTAAATAAATAATTTTTTTTATTTGTCTCCATACCTTCTTTTACTTAGTTTGTATTAATGTTGAAATTGTAACTAAATCATACAATTTTATTAAGTTTTTGAGGAAGTTTGATTTTGGGACATCCTCCACAACTATACCAATGGTAAGAAATATTTTGATTTTTCCAATGAATATAAATTTCTCATAAAAAAAAAAATAATAATGAAATACAATGTTTTTTGCATATTAAGTACTTCCATAAAAAAACAAGAGTCACTATAATTTGTTTTTTTTTGTAGTATATAGTATATGGCTACACACTGAACAATATTTATACTTTATAGAATAACCGATTCCATTCTCAAAGTTTTTCGAGGTCTTTATTCAGTAGAAAATTATAAATTGAAATATACATAACTACACTTACAAGAGGCTTAATTTTTAAGAAACGACTCCAATGCATAAACATGTTTGAACAGCAACTCTTGTTGCCATAACATTTGAACTTTAAAGACTGGTTAATTGGAAAACGCAGCTGCGAAAATGAGGTGTATTGTGAAAACAAAACTATAATTTTGTACCAGCACCCATCTATTATTAGGATGGGTTTGATTGTTAGTTGTTTCTTTGATAAAGTGTGAACGACAAACTCTTGCTAGTCTATTGAATATTATTGCACCATTGACTATCGGATAAAAACAAAGAGGGTTGGGTTCGAAACACTTCTTCTCCTACATACATGTATAACTATAATAGTATAATAAATTATATTTTTCATCCAAACAATTCAAGACTAAGGCGATATAACAACAATTTCAGTGCTACAATAGGAAAATATATTTCCATTCCTCTAGGAATTATCTAGGCGCTGTAGTATATCAAACCACACGTACGTTACCGTATCAAATATATATAATACATTTTATTTACGAGTATCTATCTATTTGACACATTTCTGTTAATTTTTTGTTCGTTTTTCAGTATTTATAGACTTATATTAATATTTCGTTTGACTAGCATGTTTTTATTTTTACTTTTTATGTGAGCAATTTGCGTCATCGCGTAAAGCTTCCCAAAACGTGAGAGGTAAGTCTGTTTAAAATGTTTGCATTGGGAGCAATTGGAATTCTAATGAATGTATTTCTTTACGTCGGGGTGAATAACTATGACGTAGATTGTCTACCTCATTTGCTGTCCTCTTTTTCATTGCCATGCACAGACTTAATGATTATATTGGCTTCACATTATTTTGTCAATACCTTTTTTTAAGCATTACACTTAAAATATTAATATTATTTTATCTATTTCTAAAATTTCGATGAAGTAGAAATATTTTCAAATAAAATCTCGCAACAAATGTATTTCGATATTTTTTCCAGATAATTTACATTTGATATTTCCCTAACTGCAACAAGTACGAAAGAGTCATTAGAAATTACTTTGAGCTGCCTGTATCAACGCTTATATCAAGACTGAATTTAAGAGCCATTGGCCTTTTTCGCATATAATCCTTTCTTCGTTTTAATAATACTACAAAAAAGAAACTCATCTATTACTTTCCAAAAGGTATTCACCTTAGTAACAATTAATAAATGATCACCTTGTATCTTTGCAAATTACGTTGCTTTGAACTTGTAAAATCTGCTACTATTGGAATTTATTGTAAATTATATTAGAGTTTGAAAAGTCTCTTTTATTTTTGCCATCAAGTGAAAGTTAATATGTGAAATATTCTGAATAAAAATAATTGATCTAAGTATTTTAAGTGTAATCAATAGTTTGTTTAATTTTGAGTGGAGATATTACTTCTCTAGTCTAATAAAATAATCCTAGTTACTGCAGAGCATAATTCATCTTAATTAAATGTATCCACCACTGAAATTTGACAGATGACTTTTTAAACTCTTAATAATTCATAACTGATCTTATTTATTCACTTTAATAATGTTCGAAATAGCTGCTCAGTAATTAAAAAATTAAATAAAGCTCATGATTTTAATTTTAAAACTTTCTTATTTATGACATAGCTCGTTCAACTTGAACCCTCACGTGTCAAAATAAAAATTATATTATAAAGCAGAGCTTATAATAACCACAGCATGACCAATTATAGCATTATAAAAAAATCCCCTGTTGACTTTATATTATCTATTTTTACCGAACCCGAAATAGCGTTCAAGCCTATCCTTACTGCGATTTTTATATTGTTTCAGAGTCGCTAAACTAATTTCACACTAGGGCGTAACATTACGTTGTTATGTAATAGCTAATCATCTTAAGGATCGTTATCGTAATGGTGTCGTGCGTTAAGTGGCACATAGAGTATTTTTGTAAAAAAGGGGCCTTTAATCTACTACGCTGTGTACAAAAGAAAACGATGATTACTTACAGATGTGGGGCTGATACAATACTGTTGTTAATTTGAAAAAAGACAAATAACAGTTAAACCGATTTAAACTATATAAATATAATGTATGTATCATACATAGAGAATAGAATGAAAGAGAAAACTATTATTTTGATTTTGCTGAAGTGCTGGTCATGTAAGGCTTAAGGGCATCAACGTTAAAAATTTATATATGATTTCGGTAAAAGCTGATTCTGAAGTCGCAACTTTGTTTTAAATGTAAACACTATTATTTTCTCATACCTAAATCTTTTATAGAGAAAAATAGTTATACACGAAATTATTATGAATAGGGCTTAAAGTGGAAAAATACTCAGGGGGGACTCTATTCACAGTATTATTTTGAGCGTTCTACGTATCTATGAACATGTGAGTTTTATCTAAAAATTGTAACATTGGAGATAATAAAAAAAGGAATGAATACTGATAACACTTTATTAAATAATATTTTTTAGTTATATTATAACTTATATTACCAGATGAGATAAACAATTTTTTTATGTGTTCATATCACGATTAAAGTTATATCTTTAAATATAATTGGTATTATAAATGTTAATAAGTTGATTAAAGTTTAATATTTGTACAATAGCTGGCTATCATTAATGCGTAGTATTATATATAGCCTATTTTTAACAATTTCATTTTATCACGTCATATTTATAATTTTGACTAAAAAATGTACCGTTGCCGTTATTAATAAAATTTCGACATTTTCTTAAGGAGGATATTTTTTAAGCCTTTTTAGAGGTAGAAGTTTTCTTGTGTCCCCTCTCCACTTTAGGCCCTAATATAAGTCTTATTATGAACTGGGTTTATTTCGTATACGAATACGAAAGGGTCGTCCCCCCAAAATTATATGAAACTCAATCGTACTATACTTTTATGTGAGCTTATCGTTGGCGTGCACAGAAATATCGTTGAAAAATAGAACAAATTTCAGCACGCAAAGTAGACCATAGTAAACTCACTAGGTTATTGCAGTTACTGGTTACCACTGTCATTAATTTTAATAAACATTTTCGAAAGCAAGAATTTTTACTATGTATAGGAATAGTGACAATTATCATGTAAGTTTATTCATTTACTTCAATAATAAAAAACTATCAGAAAAATTGAAAACTGTGAATGAATAAAAAATTAATTCAATGAATTTATCTACTATAGATATCATAACAAAATATACATTTTCTTATCTCTAAGTATGAGCTATTCAAAATATCTCACAGTTAAATACTTCTTATTTGACTACGTGATTTCATATTTCTACCTTAAGTGAAATATTATTACTTAAGTATTTGTAAGTAGCAATAGGTACGTTTGACAACCAACAAACATTTTCTTATTTGATAGTGTATAGATGATATGTGCGCTTGAAAATTAATCGAAATATTATACATTTACAACACATGCTACTTATTTATGCAAACATTTTATCCATTTAATGATAAGATATTTCAAACTTTCTTAAAATAATAAGAAAATAAGTAATTTTATTTTGTCCATTATTTTCACATTTTTATTACATGCATTACTAATTTTCTATTCATTTTTTTATTGTATTTATTATTTTAAAACCAATTTCTTATTATACTGATTGAGATTATGCTTATAAGTTTCAAGTTTTGCTCATATAAACTCAATGATATTTTATTTTTGATTAATCTTAAATTAAATAATTTTAAAAATATTAAAATTTAAATATTTACATTTCAATGGTAAATAAATATTTACCAATTTAAATTCAATAATGAATGTTGTGTAGGTTTTCAATAGTTAATAAAGAAGCTAGTTGATAATTTTTTAAAAATCATGAACTCCTTTTTGAATTTTATAATACTAAATCTTTTTTTTTTAATTTAACGTCTGCTTTAAAAGCTATTTCTTATACCAGAGATAACAAAAAAATCTACATAGCTTAAAGAAAAGCAATAGAATATTGAAATGGTACAATAACTAACCTATTTTATAAAAAAAATTAATTGAACTAATTTATTCATGGTGTATAGTAGATGATATTTTCAAATAAAATGCTATTTCTACTTTAATTAATGAACAAAAATATTTCGCTTAGCTTTATTGTGCCGTTTTATTAATGTATTTTTTCAAACAATTACTTTTTCACCTTCTTCTTACTATTATAAAATACAGTTTCTGAGCAAAATATAACCATGTTATTATTAATGAAATATCTCAGAGAATACTTGGAAAAACTACCGAGTTCGTGAAAAATTAGGTCACTAAGAAAATAGCTCAATTTCCACTTATTTTTTCAACTTAATCATTTCTTTCATATAATATTCTTTAATTAACTTTTAATATTTATTTTTATTTCATAGGTAATTAATGTTGGATATTACAATGGAACAAACAGATGAAGATAGATGGCCAAGGACTGATAATATACTTATGGCATTATCAGAAGACGTACGACCTTCACTCGAATGTGATACGACTGAAGAGCAACGACGAATTGATGAAATTAAATCTGCAACCGTTCAGCGTAATATACAGTTATGTTTGGATGACCTTGTGATACCCTTGCAAAACGTTCCGGGTTTGCTAGAAACAGAAGAAGTGCAAACATCAGCCGATACCGTTGACATGCTAAAAAAAGTTGCGGCATCTAAACGCATTCAAGTCGGTATTATGTCTATTAAATCCACATACGTGGATGGAAATTACTATGCTTCACAAGAAGCATACATTTCTCGGACCGTTGAAGAGATATTGTCTTGGGACCCCATCACCACACCACCTAAAGCAAATACTTATACGGCGGGTTCAGTTGCATATTCGGCGGATGGACAATGTTTTCTGCGTGGGTTCGCCAATCCTGAACTCGATGGAATTCTTATAGAATGCAGTAGACTTGCTATACTACCTAGAGACCGTAGTACTATAAAGCTTTACGCCACATTGGCTATAAATAGTGATGGTAATCCAATATTCAAACCTCATCATTTTCATGTTTTCTCTAAATTTTTTTGATTTTCAATCACTTAATTTTGTTGTAAAACAAATGATTTATTTATAAACATAAAATTATAATATAATTGGTATGATTGTAGTCTAGATTATTTTGATACATACAAGTAAATTGATAAAATATACACAAGTTTATTTAAAAACTAGATTTTTAGCATTAATTAAACACAGTGCCGGGGTGATCGGGAAACATGCCCTGGGCTTTTCAGTTTATGGAACCCTTTGCAAAGCAGTGGCTTAGTTAGGGTTTGGTTTTTGGTAGAGATATACATAAAAAAAATGTATATAACCTTTCCATATGAAAAAACGTCCTTAACATAACTTAAATAAAAATAATAGGTTGTTTGGAATGAGTATCTATAATTTACATTAAAAAATCTGTTTGACTATTACACTTATCTTTGTTTGGAATGTGATATAAATTGGATAACCCTGATATAAAAAAGTAATGTAAAAGGAAATAAAACTCTAGCTATGTGACCGTGTTATATGAAGAAAATGGAAAAATCACTTTGAAACCATTACAGAGAACAAACATGAAGAGGTGCTCGGTCCATTTACCAATTTTATAGGCGGTCCTTTGCATTTTTTCTTCTATTACAAGACGAGACAATGGATAGTTCCTGACTTTATATGCTTTAAGCAGCTTTAAAGTCACGGTTGTGGGATTATTTTCTTTAATGAATCGTACGAGACATGTTTCCCCTTGACAGAATTCTAAATTGCTTTACATATCATCAATATATATATTATTATGTACTTACTCAACTGTAACAACAAAGCGTATGGTAATCGTGTGACGTCGATCATGCAGTTGTTAACCGACATAGTTAACATCATCGGCATATAAGTTAAAATCGATTATAATATTATAAAAAATTAAAGTCATATTGTTTTTTATGTGCACATGGAAAAAAACTTTAAAACTACAATAGTTAAACCGAGTAACGAATACGGTAAATTTTATTTAAAATACATGAACCCTCTAACATAGTTTTGCAACAAATGTATTATTCCATTAACTTATTATCGTTATTATTATTATAGGTTCTGGTAAAATATATTACATTACCACGCGATTCGAGTACGTTGAATGTTCCACGTTCTGTTACACTATTTAAAGTGAACAATATAACTGATTTGAGACTATTTTTTATTTATAATACATTTTACATAATTTATTTGATATTTATTTATATTTAATGGCGGTTAAATTTTTTTTCTTTTGATATTTATCAAACACCTACACAACTTTTGAACTTTTAAAAATTATAATTTTATCAAACAAATGTCTTGGATAGATTTAAAAAAATATATTTTAATTTCGATGAAAAGAAAAATCATTACTTCAGTAACAGCAACTAAAATATTAAAATACAAATTTAGAAACAAAGCCAAAGCCATAGCCTAGTTAAAATAATAAATAACTCTTAACTCAGAAACTTTCATAAAACCATTTTTTTATTATACAATTAAGTCGAATTCAAATTAACATTGAGTTAAAATATAAACTTCTAATAAGAAAAAAAAATTACAAATAAAAGAAATAAAATATTTGAGATATTTGAGATATTACATTAAAAAACAGGTTATTGATCTAAACTTTTAAAATATATTTTACTTCAGTAATGATATTTTATTTTGTTTATTTAAATTTAACTTGGGATAAATATCTTAGTTAATTATAAATGTATTAAATCTTTAAGTAAAAACTACAGTGAACTTTAAAATAAAAATTCTATTAGAGTTTATTGTGTTTATTGAGTTTATTACTATATCAAACAATAATTGTTTGACCCTAGTCTCAAATTTCACAGTTTCTCATTCAATTAAAATAAATTACAATCCCCTTTCATATTTAATTTTGTACGTATTAAACAAGTTAAAAATGATTATATATTTGATTTTTCAAAGTACTTTAAATTCAAATACTGGTACAGTCAACAGATTCAGCTTACATAATATTTACACACGCTTATACACTATTGTTATTTTAGGATTAAAAAGGATAATAGTATGTCTTAGATCTAATAGACAACGCATTGTTCAAAATCAAAACACCATTAGTAATATCAATTAATACAAGCTAAAATTTAGTCTTTAGTAGTTAAAAAAGTCCACTTATACGTTTTTTAAGTCGCTGAATTCAAATGTGATACTAGTTCTTTCATATTTTGATTTTGTAGGGGTTGGAGGTGTTTAAAATTTGCATAAATTATACCAAGTTATCTTATTAATAGAATGTTAATGAGCCTATTTAAACCATCCGTGTTATGAAGTAATAACAAGATAAAAAAAAAATTATTAATGAGAAATAAAATATTTGTGTAAAAAAAGTTTTACTGCTAATCTAGTATTTGTTGATAAGTCACTAAGAATTAAAAAAAACAGATTTTTTTTTGTTTTATCGACATTTTTTTAATAACATTTGTACGATTCATGTGTATATATATGTACTTATATTAGTATATTATATTATACTTATATTAGTAAGAAGCATATGTACACCCAAAGAAAAACCTCAATCAATTTTGATAGAGAAATTTTATCAAGGGTTTATGATAATGTTTTATTAATACGAACAAAATAACTATTCTTATAAATAATTATTGTTCAAGACAAGAAAAAAAATTATCATATTGATAAATATATCATAGATTCAATAGTAATGATATATTTATCAAATTGAACAATGAATTTATTATATAGATCGAGGTTTTTCTCTGGGTGTATATATTCTATGGACATTATTCTATGATGTGAGTCTTGCCGCGGAGCTCTACGGAGCTTAATTTTAGAGCACATTTTATGGGGATTTTAATTAAAAAAAAAATAGTGCGTGCTACGAGTACACTCGGATGAAGTGAAACTTCTTTCAGAGTCATTTAACTGATAAAATATTAGGATTGTAAACTAAACCCTTACAGTTTTTCTAAAAGTATTTTGTTTGACATCTTAAAAAAATGAATAACAGACCATATTATTGAGAAAAAAAATCTGAATATGTTTATTAGTACTTTTACACTAATTTTATTGTGTAATGGTATAACAAAATTTGGCAAAATATTTTTTATAATTTGTAAAATACAAAATGTGTGGACTGTTAAATGGACCAAATTGGGACAGTTAAATAAATATTATTATTTCAGCCGTAACAATCTACAGCACTAGTAAAACGTTAATTGGTATTATTAAGAAATACAAAATATTTGTTCGCAAATTTATATGATGAAGTCTGTAAAATATTTAACTACCTCAAATTGCCCTATTTGACAGTATATGAATTTATGATATATTCTGATTTTACCATGACAGGATTCAAAATAATTTCATTTAAATATTTGTAAACGTTTATCTGCTATACAACTAATTTTAAGTTAACACTTTACAATTAATAGTATTTTAATATAATAATAAAATCAATATACCTTAAAATAATAATTTACGGACAAGTACTCATTGAGTTCCAAATATTTTAATACATAGTATGGGGTCATTAGAAGGTAAATGGATTATGTACACCAGTACAAACTGTATCCCATACTATACACAATTTTTTTTTCATAATAAATAACAAAAAATATGTTTTAAACTTAATCTAATAAGACAATACTTATTAAACTGTATCCATTCTATGTATTAAAATACTTGTAACTAAGTTAGTACTTGTCCTAAAACTGTTATAGACCCAACAAAATAATTTGCAAGAAAAGGACTAAAAAATACCTATTTCAAAATTATAAAAAATATTTTGCCAAATTTTGTTATACCATTACACAATAGATTTAGTGTAAAATTACTAATGAATAGCTATGGGCAACCAAATTTAATTTTAAATATTGTATGTAATATTCAGATTATTTTTCTCAATACTATGGTCTATTATTCATTTTATTAAGACACCAAAAAAAATACTTTTAGAAAAACTGTAAGGGTTTAGTTTTTGACATATTTAAGTCATAAAAACAATTAATTTTTATATATTATTTTTACATATTTTTAATAATCCAGAAAATATTTTTTACCAGAATAATAAATAGTGTTTTAAAATGTATACATTTATAAGTAGTATTACTAAGCTAATTTTGATGAATTCATAAAAATCTTGGAGCGGCCACACTGATAACTAATTGGCTTTATCACAGGTGTCCCCGCTCATCACCACCATGTTAGTGTAAATCTTTCATCTCGAAACCATAACAAAACTCGTGGTTCAATATTGTATGCATATGTCTGCAGCGGCGCAGCCCATGATACTCTGTTATCATAATATCCAAATATCATGTTATAGATCTCTTGCATATGTTTATATACAATAGCATAAAGTGGTTGTTAGGTGTGAGCAAGAAAAGTTTTAGTGTGTCATATTTTATGGCCAACTACCAACCGATGACTATGGAATGTTTTAGTTAATATTAGTTTTCACAAGACTTTAAAATGGCTGATAATGAAAAACTCGAACACTTGAGTTTAGTAAGTAAAATTCATTGATTTTCATAGTATTAAACTGTTTTCATTCATTTTTATCAAACTATTTATATAAATAGCAAAAAGAATTTGAATGGGTGTTAAACGAAGAAGTTCATTCCATTTTACATCAACTAAATATTATTCTAAATGTAGGTAAGTCATATTTTAACAAAGAATAATGCATTAAGAAATAATTAATGATTCTAGGAATGCGTTCGACGTTTTCCATCGTGGGATAGTGATATCCCAATTAAACAAGAGAAATTTGTGTTATCGACTTCACCTGATCAATTAAAAAGCATAGTTTCTATATCTGGAGATACTATTCTTCAAGCGGTAATGAGTTTTCTCTTTTAATTAATCAGCATCAAAAAAATTAAAATAGCCAAAAATATAAATATTTCATGCTTTTAAATTTATTAACATAATTATTTTGACTATTAACTTAAAATATAAGTTTTTAAACATTTTATTGAAAACTTGTCATATTGTTGTTAAAATTGCAAGTTTTTATTTAAATATTTTACAGTCTTTATTTATGTAAGATCAATGAGAGTTTTTGTAATTTTATACTTCTTTTATTTCTACTACATGAAATAATTAAGTTAATATTTTTCTAAAATATAAAATGATGATTTTTATTTGTCAGTTATTACATAAGTTTATTTATATTTGTATGGCTAAAGGATATTCAATTCAAAGTTCAACGACATCAACAACAAATTATGTATCGTACCAATATACGTCATGATTGTCCATGGAAATTACATCAAGTTCAAGATGCAGGAAATCATTTAAGACAAGCTATTTTACACATTGAAAAAATTGATAAAGAGACCATATTTAAGTAATAATACTAAAACAACTAACTTAGTCTTAGAGGCTTAAGTAATGGGAAGGGGTTCAAATCCTGATTTTATTTAATATGTACTTAAATCAGCACTAGGAATCTAAATAGTTTTACCATATTAAGTAAGTTGACCTATATCAAATTTTTATTCAAGAATTTGCAAGACTATTATTGTAGATACTGAAAGTATTATAAAATTGCTTTTAAAACCTTAACTAAACCTAATTTTTGATCTTATAAAGTTCAAGAACTGGAATTAACGTTTTTTTTTTTTTACATATATATATATAGGTCCTTTGCATTTTTTCTTCTATTACAAGACGAGACAATGGATAGTTCCTGACTTTATATGCTTTAAGCAGCTTTAAAGTCACGGTTGTGGGANTATACAGAGTGTTCAGTAAGTCAGGAAACGGGTTTCTATTGTTCTCGTTGTTACAAACAATGAGAACAATAGAAACCCGTTTCCTGACTTACTGAACACTCTGTATAATAGCATATTGATGTAGATGACAAATTAGAGCAGAATTATTATGCTTATTGAGTTTGACAGAATTATCTCACTCTCTTCGATGTAGACCAGCACATGTTAGGCAACATTCTATACTTATGCCTCTGCTCAGTCTTAAAAAATATCTGATGTTTATATAATTAAACAATTTCTTTTAGTTCTTCAGAAGAAGTGTTACACATTTTACGTAATTTGTTAGGATGTTTACAACGAGGTCGTACTAGTTTAATAGTTCCACGTAAACGTACTATTGATGATTTAATTAAAAGCAGAAACATGGTAAATAATTTGTTCATTAATAATATTTTATTCATAATTTATCATATTTGCTAAGCCAAAGGTTACGTTTGTTTCAGAAGTGTTTGACTCCCATTCTACCAGAAGATTTAGCTATCAGTTTTTACATACAAAGTCATAAATTAATATTTGCTGTTTACCAGTTATCAAGTTCTCATGGATCCATGAAGTATGATACCTATCAAGCAGAATGTACAGTCCCATGGCTAAATGAAGTACTAGTTTTGTTTACAGTCGCTTTACAACTGGCACAGCAGCTTAAAGACAAGGTAAATTTTTATACATGTTAATTATACATGCAATACATTTTTATATTTACTTGATAATATTGATGTATTATTTTAGATCTGTGTATTCACTCAATACAGAGATATAACCTCTTTATCTCGACCAGTTTCCAGTGTTGCTATACACTCCTAAGTATTTTAATATATATTTATTAAATGTTTATGTATTTCAAAAATTCAAGTAATAATTTTATGCATAATAAAATTATTTATTTGTTACCAATATTTCCTTCGAAATGATAAGCAATAATGTAAGAATTAAACTTTAGTGTTTAGTGCACTTTTTCATGTTTTAAGTTTTAACCCTTTCATCATTGTCTAAAATTAATTTTCATAGAATGAAGTAATCATGCTGGCTATACAATATCAGAATTGTTAATCAGAGTGCGATATTAGTAATTATTATTATAAGAGAATAATAGTAGTGTATGTGTACAGATAAAATGATAATGATTCAAGTATTCTTAAAATTTAAGTCATTAGGGTTGTTTAATATATTGTAATAATAATTTTTTTTTAAGGACAATAATTAGATCTGAATGTTCGACTTGGTATGTTATATAAAAAAAATATGCTCATAATCTATTTATGTGTTATATTTATAATTATTACCTAGAGAATAGTTTTTTTCTTTAAATTAATTTTAAGCTCATAAGTGTATGTTGTTGATTTATTTCAAAAAAATCTTTTGTTTCAAATAGTGTAAGTAATTTTTTGTAGAAGTTACTACAAAAATTATATTATTATAACCTTTGAGAATGCTTCATAAGTGTTATTTTTTATCAGTAATCCTGGTTGGCATGGTTATTACCACTTTTTCTTCAACAAAATGTTTTTTTAGATCATAAGAAAAAGTAAAAAATATTAATATATATTATATTGTTTTAAAAACATGTACATTGACTGGACATACTCACATAAACAAGTTATGCTAAACCTGACCTTAAATAAATATTGCTGTACAACATTAAAGATTACTATAATAATTTTTATTTACAATAACAGTCATGTTTATAGGTAAGTATAGGTATGATATCCTGTCCTAAAACAAATAAAATACACAGTGAAGATAAGAAAAAAAAATTTTGTTTGAGATAATGACATTTTTTAGGTATATCTTCTCTTAGAAAAATTACACCCTAAGTACAAATTCATATATCTAAAAATATTCATAAAATAGCTGTAAAACAGACTTTTTAATTAAAAATGACAAAAAAAACATTATATATTATTGCACTTTGTTATCTTTGTTAGTGTATATTGTAACATTCATTATCATTTAGTGGACATTTATCAGGAAAATTATGGTAGAACCAGCATTTATGTTTTTTCCACACTTTTCCTTCATTTTTTGTAGGTTTTCTAAACCCAACGCTTCCTTTTTCAACAATAAAAATATAACGATGATTTCGTAATAAAGTTTGAAGACCACCACATTCTTTTTTTAATTTTTTCAGTCTCTCTGCGCCTATTTCATTAGCTAATTCTCTTAAAGACACCCTGCATGCCCATTGGTCAGGATGCTTCAATAAAACTTCTACAACACTATTTACTACACTTTGTACTAGATCTCTATCAAGTTTTGTACAATTTCTGACTTTTTCTATTGAAGGTCTAGGTATAAATTTAACATTTTCATTGAATTTAGATTTGGCAAAATTTTCTATATCTTGAACAACTTGATTAAATTGTTGTTGGTTATATTTTTTTGACCAGCCAATAAGACAAATACGTTTTGTTGATGGAATTCGAAGACGATCAACTTTAATTTCAAACTTGAAAATATCAATACAAGTATTTTCTAAGTACTTTAAATAATCATGATATTGGCTAAGAGATGAATCATGGCGTTGGTAACGTAGGCCATTTAATTCAAATGTACAGCAAGGTAAAAGAAAGAATTTACAATTATAGTTACTACGTGAAGCAATAATTGGTACCCAAGGTGACAGCTCATCAGAATGATTACCAATAATCCAATCTACTTCTGGAAATTTGCATTCTGATGAAGATGGATCAATACTTGTCACCTATAAATCAATTGGAATATTTAATAACATTAAAAATATTTATATTTATTTACAACTTACAAATTATAAGTTAATTAATAAAATCAATATTAGTATTTCATAAAAAGTATCTCTAATTCTGAATAAATGTTGCTTTATAATCAGTAAAATATTTACATCTATTTGTTTAAAGACTGAAAATATTCTTATATATCAAAAAATGACTCATTTTACAGTAAAATACCATCAATCAATTTTTCATTCATATAATCTCACCAAACTAATTATTAGATTTTACTATTTTACCTAATTAAAACTAAAGCTGTGTTTTTTTTTATCGTGTCATTAAAATAGAAAAAAGGTACAAAATATTCATATAAAACTTATATTATTAAACATAAAAATTTGAGACCAAATCTAGATAACATTTTAATGCAGGGGATGCAACCCCCAATCCATAATTTATGTGTAGACCGAATTTTTATTATAAAAAATAAACACATTTTTCAGTTCCCCTTGAAAAGATGCCACTGTTTTGATGAATATATCAACAATTTGTTAACACCAAAAAATAAATAATATTTATTATTTAAGTTACCAACACAATGTCTTAATATTTGATAATTAAAATTGTCACTTGTGATCATTTGAAACCAATATTATTAAAAATTAAAAATATTTAAATCAAAAAGCCACAAAAAATTGTGAATATGTATTTTGCGAACAATGTTACCATTAACAACACTATATGTATGTATTTATCATAACAACACAATAACTCATTTTGTCTATCTTGCAACAGCATTTTTGAAAAAACATCTCAGCTCCTTTTTTACTAAATCTTGCACCCTATGACTTCTATTTTCTTAACTTAATAAATATAATGAAATTTGAATCGAGTACTAAGATAAAACACAAAATTAAGGAGTACATCAAATTTTTCTCACAAAAATTTTTTTACTTAGGAATACCAGAAATTAAAAGTAAGGTGAAACTAATGTGTTTTACATAAGAGATGTAACTTCAAAAAATAACTAGTGATTATTTCATTTTAAAAAATCCTTATTTTCATGACTTATAATCTTATTCTTATCTCAACCTAAGTATTTATATACTATCTACTAACATACATTTAGTTTATATGATATTCTTACTTTTAATACAGTAGTTTCAGGGTACTGAGCCCACATATTTCTGGATCTTATATCTACACCAAAACCTCTATATCCTTCACTGTTTAAAATATGAACTAGTAAACCATTTCCACAACCCATATCAACAAACGTAGGTTTTGATTTGCCCCATAATAATATCAAATATGAGGCTGTTGCAATATCTTTAGGAATATACTTTTTAGGATCAGTAACTTCAGTCCATACCTATTACAAAATTTACAATTACATTCTTTTTTCAATTAACTATTAAATTTGTTTAAAACTAGGCGCATTTAGAGATTCATAATAAGGAGGATACTAATAAAAAAATTTTAATTATTAACAAGGTACCATGAAAACTTTTGCTACAGTATTTTACTCATTTGAAGCTGATTAAGGGCAAAAAATAGTTGACAAATATTTTTATATCAGAATTGCATTACCAAAGATGGGACACTTATACCAATGACTTCCTATAAATACGCCACTACTTAAAACCAAAAAGCTACTTACATCCATTAGTGCTTTAGCATATTTTTCTTTTAAATTATTATATAAATGGCAATAATCATTAATACAAATTAGTGATAATGATTTAATTGTAGATTTTGAACCATTATCATTTAAAACCCAATTTAAAAATTTCGGGAAAAATTGATTAGTTAACCAGTACATCATTTTTTCATTGACTTCATGGCTATTTTCTGGAATACCAAGTTTTAACTCTAACTGACCATTAGAAAATTGTATGCTATATGCATAAGGTTCAAGAATTTGTCCACATTTTGGTGTAAAATCATAAAATTCAGCAATACATGTTTTTTTAACTAAAATTGAAATAAGAAATATATTAATCAAAGGAGCATACTTTTTTTTAATATAAAACTTACTAAATACACTCAAACGTAAATAGTCATTCCAGTCAACTGGCTTTTTAGTGAGGAGTTTCCATACTTCAACTTGAATATCATGGCCTTTATTTAATTTAAATTCTATCAATGTATTTTTTGGAGATTCATACCAAGTTACAGGCTGATCAGATAATATACTTAAAATATCTTTTACATCATCACTTAAACTAACATCAAATAATTTTTCTGCACCCATTAAATGTTTAATTAATAAATGAGGCTTAGTGTTCCATACATTGACAGCTTCCCAAAATTTGTCAACAGTTAAGTCATAGTCAAGTATTTGAGATTGTTTGAGAGATTTCCAGAGCCACTTCATAATGACCATAAATATAAAAAAATTAATTGTTGCATAAAATATATTTTTTTAATATAATTAATTCATTTTATTTGTTAAATAATGAATTTATGAAATAAAATATTGTAACATTTAATCTTCTTAGTTTTAAATTAAGGTACGATAATGATAATAAATTTAAAGTGATAGTAACATTTTATGATAACTTTTTGCTTTCCATGATTTAAGAAAAGAATCTAAAAATGAGTTGAGGTCCAAGTATTTTCTAGTTTTTGTTTAAAATAATCTTAACTTAGAATAGAAACTATCTTGGTTATTCTTTGTTTAATTTTTAAAGTCAGTGATCTTTTTGTCGAATCGTTTAACATATTTTAATGAATTTATTATTTCCATTATTAAAGTGAAGAAATTTTTCATTTCAATATCTCATGTTGTAGTATATAGAGCAGGTAAATTATAATTAATGGATTATTTTTAAATCAATTTTTATTGTACAAAAGTGTTAACTTAAAATATAAAGTAATTCCTAGCGTAGATATTATTGAATTGCTGTCAATGAAGTTTTTATTTTTTTTAAATAAATAATTCTATTCGTGTTAACACGTGTTAAACTATAGTTAAATTACCTTATTGAAAATCCTCCAATGTTTGTAAAATATAAATTAAAGGTAGAGATATTAAACAAATATATTTATCCATTTATAAAGTTTATTTTAGTCATCCCGAGTACAACAATGATAAACAGTGTTCATTTTAGTTTTTCTTGACAATAAATAGTCTATATTTTATTAGAAATTTAGTCTTAGGGGACGTAGAAGCGATAACAACCCCAGCCCAAAAATATTCCACAGTACTGTTTTCTCTTATGATACATTTTTAAATGTAGCAAAAATTTTCTCTCTTGATAATGTTGTTAAATATATTATATGAAGTAATACTATGAAATATTTCTAAGTTATTGGAAGATATTGGATAATACAGAAGTGTGCTCAGTATTGATTTACATGGGAAATTAAATACAAAGAAATTTTTTTATACATTTTCCAAATTCTATATTTAACATGTTATTATTTTCTTCGTATGACAAAAGTTAGACTTTACATAATATTATTGATACAATTAGTATTATGTTACATTAGGCATATACAGACAAAAATTATTAATCCTCCACCAAATGATATGTAATAATCAAAGGAAAGAGTGGGAGTGGTGCTTTGATTATTCTTGCTAACTAACTTTTAGTTATAAGAATATATATACTTGTATATTCCATAAGAGTTGATAACAATGAGCTACAATGTTTAGTGAAGAAGAGGTCAGCAAAAAGATTGAATGTCCCTGTGGCATAAGTGTATTTTTGTGTAGTCTAAACAATATACTAAAAGTTTCTCGAAACTTCCAAAAGAAAATATTACAAAATGTAACTTTTTTTTTTTTTGTAGCATGTCATGCTGTATAATAGTAAATACGCTATAATATTCTTTTCTAGAACATTTATAAAAAATTAATAACTCTTGCATTTCTTAGACCATGAAAAAATACACTATGAAGGAGCATATTTCGTTTTTGCTTTTTTATTACTTAATTTTATTTAGGAGGTGTAATAATGGATGACTAATTCACTAAAAAATAGCAAATCGAACTTGGTCAAAAGTCCATATCACATAAAAGTATAATACATCCTTTGCATTTCAAATCTAATTTCAAACATAGAAACATCCTGACCACTGGCCATTAAATCGCTCTCGGTGAGCAATACTTATGACAGGTAATAATTTCCTTTGCGGCTCCATAGTACCAAAAATATAATAAAAGAATAGTTTAACAATTGTTATCCTTTAGTACGAGAATTGAATCACGCAGGAAGGAACTAATACTAAAAGGACTTGACGCTTTTTAGCTATTATTAAGTGGATATGTCTTAATAAGAAATTATGATCTGACTAATTCATAAGACTAATGGCAGCGGTCATATATATGACACATCCGAATTTGATGATTGTCAGTTATGCCGTACATTACCTAATATAAGAGGGCAAAAAACCCTAGCTTTTTAGCTTACCTACTTGTTTTTTATTTATCATCACCTTAATTTTGCTCTTGCAGTCTGTATCAATGTATTCTTTGTATGTATTCTGAATATTATTTTAAAAATTACATTTGTTAGAAAACACGGTATTATAGTTCAAAAATACCTTTGTTTTATTTACTGTCGTCTTTAAATATAAACTAACGCTTCGAAGAACTGTAAATCATTAGCTGAGATTTTATCGTCGTCGTTCCAGTGAATATCAGGTAAGAGTAGTTTTGACACAATAACTACAATAATCAATGAATAAATAAAAGTCAATATACTTGTATTTATTGTCATTACGAATGGTGTTATTATAATTCTATGCTATTATTAATATAACCATACTATAAACTCTATTTTTAGTTATTACAATGCATATTTTTAATAATAATAACTATGAAAGTTTGTATTATTAGAGTGCAAAATAATATAGTGTGAATACTTATAGTTTGTAATAGTGATTCCATTACTTTAATACAATTAATAAATAAAAACATTATATAAGCAAAAAGGGTATGATTGGGTTTTCTATTTTATTTGATGCCTTCGTCATTTTTATTGCTATGAAACGATTTCTTTAGTATCATATATTCGCTTATAAACCACCGTACTTCTTTCTTTCGCTTAGTGTTTGAATAGTATTGGTTAATTGAATTGTTTGTATCTACTGACACTGTCTGAGATTTCCTTTAGGGTTTTTCTTATGAGGACTTTACATGGATGTTATATTGTCCACTTATTACAGTTCATTTTATTCTGGATAAAGGCGGATGTAATGGATAAAACTTAGTAAACTGTAATGAAAGAAAAAAAAACCAAGAATAAAGACAGCAAATAAAATTAAATAAATAAAAAAAAATTTTAATTTTAAAGGTAAAAAGTTTTTCTAAAATAGAATAAAATAAGCTCAATTAAATTTTAGAGATGCATAATTGTTTGTTTTATTATATATTTACTTTTTTTATTAAATCATGATTTTATTCAATTAATTATAATAGTTTGATTTTATCCGAGATATCTTTATCCACAAAAACAAAACCTTATCAACGGTGGGACTTAATCTAAATTTTTAAATCTATTGAAGTCAAATTTATAAGTAACTTCAAAAATGTTGATATATTTCATTTGATTTGTACAAGAGAATGATTACGTAATATTCTTTTTTTAAAGGTCTCAGAATCTTCTAATGTATTTATGTTGAACCATACAAAATTACACTTAACACCTTCTGAACAATAAATGTTTTTTATTATTATACAATGTGAATAAGCAATATTAGATGAATCAATTCACGCCAACTTAGTGACAGTTCTTATCGATATGGTAAGAATTATTGACGTTTAAATATTGATCAGTTAAGCATCCAATAACATTAATATGGTAAATAGTATTTTTTCATAATAAAATAATTTTCCCTATATCATGCCTGCCGGCTTATTATAAAATGACCTAAGTTTGACCAAAAAACTTGCCTTCTCACAATCTGTCATTTGGAAAAAGTAACCGTTACACTTTTTGCACTCATTGTCAGTGTATATTTAGGTCAGTGTACGACCTTATAAATTTGTATTTTTTAACTTAGGCAGTATTTTACTTTTGTTAAAAAAAAATAATTTTATTTCTAAGCAAAGTTTTAAGTGTGGTAACACAATTTTATTGTCTAAAAATATTTTTTTCTTTTAATTTAAACTAACACATCGTTATTAAAAACGATTAAAGTTATTTTAAAACACTAACTACAATTATAATAAAGAAACACTCCTCTTTCATCTGATTATTATAGATAAAACTGTATGCTCATCTTGTATTTATTTACAGATGTCGTAAATATCTAATTTTTCGTCAATATATTCACTTATTTTGATTTTAATTTTTAATTTCATTGATAATAGAAATACTTAACGTCATCAGTATTGAATTATTCCGTTTAGTCAAAAATTTGATTTTACTAATTTTATAAATAGTTCTAATTCTACTTATCACTACAATCGCAAGTGGTTAAAAATAAAATAAAGATGACCAAAATTCATAATTTTCAAATTAAAAAAATTCTATTTTTCAAAAAATAGGTGTTTGCACTTATTCTACGGTAAAAAAATTTGTTTGAAGTACACCAAATTCGACTTGTAAGACGAGGTGTTCAGTAAGTAAGGAAACAGGTAAAATATTATAAACAATGAGTTCAATAGAAATAGTTTCCATATGTACTGACAGTGGTGGCTCGTGGATGCTGGTGGTAGGGATGCGACTTTAAATATAATACCACTAGTCAGAGGTATAAAAAATTGTTAAATTATATATGATAAAATAATATATTGTTATTTTAAATGTCGCAGTAGAAAATAGAAATGAAAATAATATTAATAGCGATTATACAATTATTGCAACAGATAACGACGAGTGTACATGCAGTTAATTCTAAAAATAAATTACCCAATACAATAAATTAGTAATATTTTACCATATGTTCGACGCGGCCGGTTGTCCAAAAAACCGGTACTTGAGATCGCAGCTAAACTTACCCGCACGCACACGATCCTACACCTTAAATACGTTTCAGTATATTGCTCGACGACGCTGTCGTTCGTCCAAACGCTATGTACTCTTGTTATCCGAGGAAAACAACTTCAATATTCGCACACGACGAATGTATTTTACTATTTAAACATTTGTATATTTTTATAAAAATGTAGAATATACAATTAATTTTTTTTTTAATTGATTTTAGTTGGGGGTGCGATCGTCCCGTCGTCCAAATCACGAGCCGCCACTGCGTACTGGACCACTCTTTATATATATATATATATATATATATAACAATTATAGTGATACTATTACTTGGTGTAGTCGTAGTATAATCTAGATGATTTCACCGATAAATAAATGCAGTAATAAAATTGAGTAAATATTTTTGGCATATACAATATGTGATATCGTACAAATGTAATATATGAGTGTGTATTGTTGATTCACAATTTTACGTATATTTGGATCAAATATTATAGTTAAACGTATAATAATATTGATAAAACAGAAAATAACCTACATTTTATTTAAAATGTAGATATATAATACGTTTATTCAATGTGTGACACGATTAAAATTGTATCTTTCCATAGAGTGAAGTTTGAAAAAAATATTAAATAGCTGCACCGTGTGTGTTTAATGTTAATCAGTAATTGAAATTTTGTATACCTAATTTTTGTTTATTTTACTTGTTATGAAATAATATACTTTACTTAATATTTTTTAACGATGGACTTTTTTACTCAAAATTACATGCGATAATGTTTATGAGTTATCTAGGAGGACATTGGGTGCACGTGCGTCTCGAGCGGCATTAAAATATGAAGCAACATAAATTATAGAGTTAAAGATAAATTTTGTTTGTGCCATTTTGAAGGGTCCCAAGTTTGTGCAACTTTGCCGTATAGAACGTAAGAATATTTTTTGTTTTAGTGGAAATTAAAACTCACTTAAAAACCCTACAACTATAACCTCGATAATAACATATTCAATTGTTTATTTTGTACTCGTGATTGTGTGTTTGGAATTACTTAACAAAATTTTTGCAATATAAAATGTATAATAAAACTCCTTGCTAGAGCGAGAGAGTGCTATGATTAAGCATAAGCACAATTTTAACAATATTTTTGAAAAGGATTACATCTAACTTTAAAATTTTAGCTTCGATGCGAAGCTGAGAATTTATCGGTTTTACTATGATGTTTTTTTTTTTTTTTTTTTTTGTGTCAGTTACCACTTTTCTTAGTTCTCACCAAACCGATTTCTTTTAATGATACGTCAAAAGATCACAAATCGTATCTAGTCGAAGACATTACCCTTAAAAATTGAAAAAATTTCCCTCGTTCCCCGTAAATGAGGGAAACCTCCAAAAAAATTACAAATTTAAAAATCGCTAATTTTTTCAATTTTTTTTCTTAAAATTGCCATAACTTTTTCAAAAATGAACAAATTAATATAATTTTTTTATATATAGATGCATGATATCATTACCTTCCATTTGGTATATTTTTTTTATAAATCTGACCCTTAACCTGCCCACAGGGGGGGATTCAAAATGACAACTTTTTCACAAAAAAATTACTTTTTCAACTTAACTTTTGAAAGTGTTCCAGAAAGTCTGACATTTTTATATATATCTTAAATTAAAGCTAATGTAATGCACTTTATTATAAAAAAAAATTCGGACTTTATTTTGTCTTCACGGTGAAAATGGCTACCGGAATACTATTTTTGTGTGAAAATTCTCAATTTTATTTTTTACATTTTTAACTTTATAATGCTATAACTTATTGAAAAGTGTATGGATCAACATAATTTTTTTATGAGAAATAATATTTTTTAATAATCCCTTTTTCATTCGACATACTTTATCTTAATCAGAATATTAATAAGGAACTCCAACACTATCTAAAGATTTGCATCGAAGCGTTTTTTTTTATAGTGATTTTATAATCACTGTCAGATATCATTATACTTGATCCAACTATGCCACGTTACCACTGTGCCGCGACCCTACTGTGCTGGTTTTTTTTTATATAATTATACATATTTTTTCTCTAAAATTATAGAGGAACCTCTAAGCCTCTTCAAATCCTTTCCCAAATTTGTGTCTATGGATGAGAGTATCTTTCTTCTCTATTCTGGCATGCGGCCCCTCGTATTGTTAATTTAAGAACAAGCGATCAATTCTATTATCTATACGTCCAATTATCGAATTTTGATAGTGACGTAGGTTTGTGATTTTACTTGTCTTTTTGAAGCAGTAAATTTATTGTGTGAGCAATTTTCTATTAATTTATATAATACTATCAAAATTTATACCGAGTATTTTAATGTCTTTATATTTATTAATATTTTTTACTTAAGATATAACTGTTTTTATTTGAAAGGGGTAATGAACATTTTTATGGTGTTAGTATTCCCTCGGATTAACGAGGGAATAATATGAAATTTATAATTATTAATTATAAATGTTTAGAAAAATTCTATACAATGAAAATTGAAGCATTGAGAAATAGGTTTATAACTCATTCAGTGTTCAAATTCACCAAATTTTCCATGATTTTATAGAAGTAAAAAAAATTAAATTTAAGGGCGTATCATCCTCATTATTTTTATTTTTTTACCAATTGGAATTTTTGAATAAATAGGAATTGACATTCATTAATCTTGTAAATGAGTTATAATTAGGAATTTTTACAAAAAAAAAAAAATAAGAATTAAAATTATCAGTCAAACTCTATGATTGGAGTAATTCAATTTTTAAAATCATAAAAATCCAGAATTACTCTAACATTTTTTAGTGTGCAACGTCTTCCACACTTGTAACAACTATGAAATATAATTTTTAGTGATTTCCATATAGTTTATTAACTAAAAGAAAAAAATTTTAAATTAGAGAAAACGAAAAAGTTGAAATCATTTTTTGTACAACTTGTTTTTATAAAAAATTTTATTTACAAAATTGCCTAGTTGTAGTTAAATTTACAACTGTCATGGTAATAATAGTTATCAGTAAGTATATTATTAAAAATATTTTACAGTATCAGTTCATATTATTTCATAACATGCATAGTTAATATAACATTCAAAAGATTCGTACATAGTAACCATATACCAAAAAAAAAAAAAAAATGACATCTATGTTTGTTTGAGCAATAATTTATACTTAACATAAGTAAAATAAGTACATACATTTTTGTGTACTTCTCTTATTTAAAATATATAGACTGTGCTATAATTGGAATGCAAATTTAATATTCATAATATTTTATCACAATGTCTTTTTAAGACAAAAATTCGGAATGTTTGTATTTTACAAAAAATATAGGTTTTTTGTTCTATTATTCCTTAAAACTAAAGATATTATATTTTTATGATTAAAAAGAATAATTAAAACTATTAAATTTCTGTACTCAATAAATAATAAAAAATTGTGATGCTAGAAAAAAATCATTGATGTGTTTATATATATTACAATCAAGCTAAGAAAAATAATCATAGGCACATTCTAAATAGTAAACATACATCTTCACCAACTAGATTTTTCTATAAGTATTCCAACATTTTATATTAAATAAATGAAGAAATGATTTGATCACACGAAGTTTTGATCATAGGAAATGACTGTTCTAGAAATTAATATTAACAAGAATCATTAGTCATATTTTATGTTTTTGTTCATTTCTTCTTCAGCTTTAATAACAATTTCCAACACTCTGCGTTTAATTTCTGCTTGGTAAGCTTGTGGTAAAGCTTTGGTTGTTTCTGCCATACTATAGAAGAATAAATCTACAGGATGAACTTTGGTGTGACTTTGTTGTTGGTGTTGAATATTGTAATAGTGATTCATATGGTGCTGGTTTAGTTTATGTTGTGCAGAAGAATCAGCTTCTTTTGCAGCGGCAGCAGCAGCAGCTTCAGCTGATCGTTTCACTCTTTTAGCTACTCGGTGTAGAGGTTCATGTTTTCCATTGCTTAAAATTTCTACATCTGGGTAAAGTAGTTCATCATCTACCCCAGCTTCATCATTTGAATAATTACCAGGCATTTCTTTCACTTCTACCCGAGGCTCAGGCATTTCATCATATTCATAAGACATATTATTGTACGGGCTAGATGAACCATCAGTTTTGCAATCATCATAATTGCCTTGGTAGTCTTGAGGATTTTCCAGATTTAACATTTTTTTCAATGAATACCTGTTGATTTAATTAAAGAAAAAAAATTTCATTTAGTGATATTTAAAAGATCTCTTTACATTCTAATAAAATAGTAAGTATAAATTATTCATTGTGGGTTTCTAATATATAATCCCCCACTACATTATTTTTAATTTAATTTGGTATATAAGGAAATTACATAATAAGGTTTTGAATTTCTTAAAGCCCCTTCTTATCTACGCCCCTAATAGATCATAAGAAGGCCTTCTTATGCCTAATTATTACATTAAATAGGTTAAAAGAAATATGATTGAAATTTTGATATCAAGTTAATTGATGAAAATAAAAGACTATTTTATAGTATTCCGTGACTCACCCTCCAATTTGCATGAAAGGTAATAGAAATTCCATTTCTTTTTGATATTTCCACGGTTTACCTTCAACAAATGGTAAACCTGGCTTGAGATTTAATCCTTTAGTTCGTTTGATAGACACTCGAAAATTATCACGTAACCGTTTCCACCTCAGCTTTACATCATTCACTGTATAACAATATAACAATTCCTAATTAATTTATATATTTATGTAAAAAAGCATTTTGCGATTGATAAAATTAAATCTTAATCGATTGAGATTAAGGAAAGAGATGATAAACGCATAATTTTCATCAAATAAGATTTTATAAACTAATAATCCTTTTACGTATTCCTTTTTTTGAAATTAACAAGCATTACGGTAATGAAATTCAAAATAACACCAATTATATGTTCAGATACTGAGAGGGGGAAGGCCGACCACCTCTAATTTATTTCACGCTAATATGCGACTAATAGTTGGCGTATATTAACGTGTTAAATTAGTTGTCAAATTTATCATAAATTAATAAAAACATAAATATTAAAATAAGTAAAAATATTTTGTTTTAATCTAAATCATACGCTCCTTCTTATAATGCAAGCTATAATTCACCGGTAAATATTAATAGTATTATCAGTAATATTTAAAATGATAGAAATAAAAATATTACATTTAAAGAGATACATCATTTAAAATAAAAACAGTAATTTAATAGTGAACTTTGATATGTATAAAAAGCAGTCTAATATATTTATTATTGAAGCATTCCTTCGCACAAAAAAATAACTTTTTACTGACTAAAATTTCGTTATATTGATTAATTATTTATAGCTTTTTCCATACAAATTATATTTAAAATGATTACTATGAGGCCATAAACTAATATAAAATATGATATGAAAAAATATAACAAATATATATTTTTGTACATATTAATATACAGGGTGTTCAGTAAATAAGAAAACGAATTTCTATTGTACTCATTATTTGTAACAATTTAACTGTTTCCTAACTTACTGAACACCCTATATAAATTTACAGTGTTCAGTAGGTAAGGAAACAGGTCAATTTTTATAAACAACGAGAACAATAGAAACCCGTTTCCTTACTTACAGAACACTATATAAATCATACATCCATAATAATTATAGATATAATTAATAATAATTATTATAATTTTAATATGACATTTTGTATATTTAAATTATATATATTTATAATATCAAATACACCTTTAATGAAGTATTGTTTATTGTTTACACTTAAGTCACACGCGAGCTTAATACAAATATTATTTTCATGTGTGTTTACTTAGCGAAATGACGTATTAAGTACTTCTAGATGACTGTTTGTTTTCAAATTAGAAAAATAGATTGTATACAATTTTATGGAGCCTATCTCTCTAATGATGAATCATTGAAAATGGCTTAAATGAAAAAAAAATATATTAAAAGCCCAAAATCTAAAATGAGGTAATATGAGGTCTTATACTTCCAAATGCTGTTCAATTTAAAGTTTAATAAAAATCAAATAAATAGCTTTATAATTTGACGTTCACTACAAAAAGAAAACAATCATAACCGGCGGTGTTTCTGAGCGTGGCAAGTTGTGTAATGCATGTAATATTTACATTTCTTTACTCATAACACGTTAGCAAATTTAACAATTCAGATTTGTTTGTTATCATTGATGTTTGTATTTTTTAAAAGCTAGCAATTTTTTTATGAGTCTTAATTGTTTTTCTCATTTAGCTTCCTTTAAAGTTTAAAACACTTATTATGATAAATTCGTAGATTACCATGTATGTTGAAATTGGGCAAAACACTATCCAAATATTACCCGTGTAAATGATAAACCCTAATGTTCTAAAAATCGCTCTACTACTTATGATCAATTAATTTATTATTTTCATCGCTTATTGTTATCTAATGCATAAAAAAATAAAATAAATTTTAAATAGAAAAATTGATAACTTTTTGTCAATGAGTCCAATGTGCACAATATCACGATTACATCAAATCGTACATAGTTTACTCCAAAAACTAACGTCTTCCATCATTTGAAATGTTTATGGTATAATCTTGCGATTATGATAGTCTTGTCGATTTTTTCAATTCAAGTCATCTATTAGGGTAGCATTGCGTTAAAGTCACCGGGAGTGGTGTCTCTGTGTTGCAGAATCCGTCATTAGTTCCAGAGTTTAAAAAAATGCTAAACAGGTACTGCACAGATCACGCTTCTAAAAGCGTGACATGAAGAGTTTTTTGCCTGCGGGACTAGTAGTGCCCTTGTAGTCCGGTGGGTCTCGTGAAGCAAGATTGGCGACACTGTGCCGCGCACCCGACCACCGTGCGGGCGTAAAATACATACGACTCGGCGGTGGCGGCGGCAACGGCAGCGTCGGTCATCAAACCGCCGTTCGGCCCATCCGGTTTCGTGGTATTTTTTGTTCCCGTCGTTACCGTCGCTCCCCACCTTACGACGCCTATAGCAACGAACAAAGGAGCGCGCACGAAAAATCCCGTCTGCGTTTTGCCGCACAGCACCGCGCGCAACCAATATTCGGCGACATCGAACGCGTCAGCGAGCGTACGCTGGTAGTGGAGACAGGAGGGGGGCGGCGTTGTTCAGCGACGTACAAAAACAACCCCTGCAACATGTGTTCCCCACCCATTGCATTCACTACTACCACCCGTTTTCGCCGAAACCTACAACGACCCCGGCTAACATTAATACCAATACACAACGTTTTCAAACACAATTATTTTCGCAGTAACATCCAAAATTAGCCATCGTTATACGAATTCATAATCGTAATTTGTTGTCATTAGTACAATAATTGTTCTATTAACAAACATTTATTAATAAATTGTTCGTTGAAATCGTACGTAACGATTTAAAGTTCAATCCAGTTTTGTTATCGCTATTAGGTTTCACATTGTTTACACTCTCGCGATAACATTATCATTCCATGTATTATTTTTATTATTTGTATATTATGATTTAAAGTGTTCTTACCCGGCATTCCAAGCTCATCAGCTACTTCTTTCCAAGCCTTGTCTCTCTTGTCGATATACTTGTATTGGTCTTCGTCGGTATCGTACAACACTTGGTGTTGTCTTATTTTGTTGATCATGATCAAGTCGATATTGGTCTCGTTAGCGATGGCCATGGCTGCAGCTAAGGCTGCTGCTGTAGCAGAAGTGTTGGTGGCCGTAGTATTGTCGGCGATACTGCTCGTGGTAGTATCTGGCGGCGTTGTCGTCACGCGCTGCTGCTGTTGATGTTGCCTGTGTTTTAGTTGTTGTATTCGTCGGAATGATCCTCGTGGACGTTGCGCACTCGGAGTGCTCGCTGGCGACGGCATGGATGACAACTGGTGGTCGAGCCGACCACGACGAAGGGCTGCCGCGTCGTGGCGTCACGGAGCGTTCGGTTCGACGGCAGCTGTCCGCAACGGGTCACTTTGATGTACGGGGTGGGGAGGAAGCGACGGCGGCAGCGTTTCGGTCGGTCGGCCGCCATGTTGTGCGGTGCGTGCGTGCCGCCGTCATTTAGGTAAGTGTGTGCGTGCGTGCGCGCACCAGGCAGCCACACGGCCGGCATCAGACGAGACGCTTGCCCTTGGACACCAGCAACAACAGCCGTCGCGTTTTATATACATATAATAATAATATCACGCCCGTTACCGCTCTCCACTACCCGCCGTTGAGCGTAGCGGTTGCTAACCAGTTCGCCCGACCCTCGCCTGTCCGTCCCAAACCACACACGCGCGTACATTTCATACTGCCGCTGTAATCGTTGTCAGCTATTTGGTTTTTATATTTTCTCCCAACATTGGCCGATAACGTCCCAATGGATTACGTTGAAGCGACTATACCGCCGGAAGAATTAGAGGCCAGGCGACAACGTGCTGAGTTTCGAAACCTCTTGTTTTATCTCCGTTTTTGTTACCACCAGTTACTCGCCATTAACCGTAAATTTTACACTAAGTGTAAGGTCCATGTCGGTCACGCCTAAACAATAATTTAGCACGAAGTAATCTCACTGCAGCACCTAACACATGCCCAAAGTTAAATGTACTACTAAAATATTCAAATGATGAATCATAAGTATTCGTTATTTAAATTGGTAGCCTTTGCAATGACTATATCGATTTAAAATAATTATTAACCCCTCAAAAATTTATTTTAAAAAACTAGTTTGTACCTACGAGTTAATTACTAAAAAAACTTCATCGGGTCAATTAATCTTCCGACTAATTAACCTGATTATAATATCTTATGCTGTCACACTTTTTCTTATAATCGATTATAGAAGTGTCTTGATTTAAAAAACAATTAAGAGGTAGTATTGTAATTGTACATAATACACAGTATTAGATGGGTATGGAAACACCCTTCGTGAAAACTATTAAAATTAATTTTGTCGTTGATTTTCGATACGAGTTAAATACTTTTTTTTTACTCGTTACATTTCTATGATAAAATATAGGACGGCAGATTCGTGTGCTATATCTCCCCGTCAAAAAAAAAATAAGAATTTAGATTTCCGGCCCTTACAATATAATAAATTATTATTATTTTCGCGTTTTTATAATGCCCGATGTATAGAATTAGATTTTTTGTCACGTAAAAATAAATTTATACACTGTGTTGTATATTCTTTTAGTAATGTACAACAGTTCAGAGTAGTTAGATAATATTTATAATAGTAACACAATATCAATAAGTACAGCGTAAAAATAAACATTTTATCAACAAATATAAATGATAATTTGTGATTTGTTCTACATGTGTTTATATTGCATCCGTTTTGTTTAATATCATCGCATAACGTAAGCATGTATTTTATGGACATGATCTGTGGCCAACAAATCAATATTTATGTAAAAGAAGAGTCGTGAGAATTGTGCTAAATACTATGTATAAAGCTTTAAAAGAAAGAGAACATATGGTTAAATCATGAAATTGCCAAAACTGTATAAGTTGAATGTTTAAATATAATTATTTTAAGTATAACTAAGCAGTTTTCATATTTGGCGAGTATTCCAAAATTTAAAAACGACTAGCTTTATCTTAATTTTTTTACAATTTTGGTTAGTATAACAAATTTTTTGAATCCACCAAAATAATTATTTGCGTTTTAGTATTATTACATGAGTATTAGGAGGATTATATTAAATATTTTATGGATAAATCAGTGAAAAAATTTATAAGATTTTCGGATTTATGTGTAAGGGAATGACTTATATTATTAGAACAATAACTTTACGAAAAGAAAGACAACGATGTTAATATTTTTTAGATTAACAGTTAAAGTATACTTTTGGCCGTAATTCGAAATATTATATTTATAAAGAATTGTCTTGAAATAGTCGCATGAAATACGTAGTAAAGGATATAATCACCACATTAGAATCTTGATTAACGTAAAATTAAGAGAATTGCCTTTAGTATTGAGGGGCGCCAATACGTCTGTTTTAAAAGTATAAATGCCCATATTGTAGTCAGCTTAGACCCCAAATTGTTATTATTGAACATGTCGGATATGATTTTAATTACATTTGTGGCACCAGATAAATTTCCCATTATACAAAGAATTATGTTTCATCAATATTTGTTGTAACAACATAGATAACTTTTAATAAATTAAAGAAAAAGTTAAAATATTATATATTATACAGCAGAACTTCGATATGAAATATCGAAAATACAAAATAAATTCTGTTTCCTCGAGAAAACCTCAAATACTCGTGTTGCGGACCAAATAGTTGTCCTTCAAGTAGTTTAATTTTTATTTGTCTTGGGCTCAGTCCTGAGAACCCTTGGTGGTTATTCTTCTGGTCGAAGTCGTAATGACAGGTAGTCGAAATAAATAATAAAAACTCAGTTAACTTATTAGATATACACAGTGTTCAGTAATGTGAAGAATTAGATCAGTTGTTACAAATAATGAGAAAAATAGAAACACGTTTCCATACTTACTGAACACCTATATAAATATTATTTAAAATGAATATAACAAAATTATCAAATAGTTACAGTTATTACTTTAATAAACTTTTATATACGTATAAAAAATTAATGGTCACACTGTAACTTGTAGAAACTAGACTACAAGACCACTAGATCATACCGGAACGCAAGACTAATTAGTTAATAAAGCCTCGCGGCATTTACAGTCCTCAGGTGATAAAAGTTGCGGAAATCCCACGATTGACCTTTCATGTATTCTCTAAGGAACGGTTTCTGACTACAATTTAAAGGATATCCTCCTGTATCCCATCATGTTATAACACAAAATATAACTTTATCTTTTATACGCCTATTTAAAAATTACTTGACCACAACACTCGAAAGAAAAACTATAGATAACTCTAAAGTATTCACAGTTTATTACAAGTTATTGTCGATTTTTACAGCGATTTGCCTGTTTATATAGACAATTTAACTGTGACATTTGAATTGATTGGTTTTGATGTTTTAATTATTACACTGAATACGAAAATTNGATTTGCCTGTTTATATAGACAATTTAACTGTGACATTTGAATTGATTGGTTTTGATGTTTTAATTATTACACTGAATACGAAAATTTTTTTTATAACATCATAGAATTTAAAATTATCAATTGGGATAGATCGGTTACTTGTATGTTTTTTTTTTTACTAAAGTCTTGATAACTTGATATCTCAGTAGTTTGAAAACCTCAACAAGTCGAAAAAAATTATTTCCCTTAATCTTCGACTTATCGAAGTTCTATGTGCACAATAGACCAACAGGCGTGAGTGCATGTGCATTAGGGTGTCCCTTATTTATAAAATTTAAAAATTACAAAGTGCCACTCCCTAGAATTATTCGAATACATGAAAAAATAAATTGTACAAAATTTGGAGACTATTGGTCAACTCTAAGACGTGCCCCAAGGGGGTTAAAAGTAACCCCCTAAGGGTGATTTTTTAGTTTTTTTTGTCTATCTCAAAAACTTTAGCTTTTGCGAAAAAGTTTATTTAGACTTTTTTGTAGGTATACAATTTTTCTATAAAAAGTATATTTACAAAAATTTTCAAAAAGTTCTTATTTAGCCCTAAAAAAATAAAAATGTATATATTCTATTCTTACCGTTGAAATTGTTTATTTATAAATCGTTCACTGTAAAAACATAAAAAAAATTCATTTAACCGTTGTTTTAAATTTAATTTTCTATACATTTTTAATTCTACATTTTTTCTATTATTTACTATTCAAAACCTACAATTTTTTAAATTTTAATTTAAAAAAAACACATCAGAGTAAAATTAATACCGTCTCAATTTCACATTGAAGCTAAAATAATGTTAACTTACAAATTTATATACAACCAGAAACTATTTACAAAAAAAAAGGGTAATAAAAAAATTTACTACATATTTTAAATAATTTATCATTTTTTAAATTCTTGGCATAAAGTTCTTTTATTGCAATTAGGAAAACAACGCCGGTATTCTGTAACAATCTGTAATAGGTATTGTTTTTGTGCTTCGTCTTTTGTTAAAATATTATTATACTCTTCTATGAGTTTGACGCCCTTCTCTCCCAAATCAATTATATCTTTTAAATTATTTACTATTATTTTTCCTCTGATATATTGACTGTTGTCTTTCCACGACAAAGGAATGATATTTAAAAAATCTGTTTCAATGTCATATCTTTCTTTTTTTTTTTATTTTTTTAACAAAATTTTAATTATTACGCTATCTGTTACAATATTGAACAATAAGCTTAAGTGATAACATAAAAAAAAAAAAAAAAAACAGACAGAAGAGACTGAGTGAAGAGACCTCCCATCGGAGGTACTTCAAGTCATATCTTTCAAACAACTTTTTTTTTTTTTTTTTTGACTCAGTTGAAATAAAATCATCTATACTTTTATTTTTAAAATCATAAATTTCATTTATTCCTACTACTATACGTTTGTTTGTACATGGATCTTCTTCCCGATTATTTAATGAGTTTACCATTTTAATTTTAGTATCTTCACATAAATCATCATCATAAAATGCCAATGCTGCCGAATCGGATAGTAAGTACCATAAGTGACCCAAAATTTTTTTTTAAAACTACTTTAGAAATATCTTTATCTATTTGTTCATAATCAATTATATTTTTAATAAATTGTAAATCTAAATTTGGCGCTAATGCAGTATTGGTGCACTAAACCATTGTTTAATATATAAACTTGTAATAAAAATATATAATGAACGAATATTTAACTCTTTGATTGACAATTCAAATTGGCCCCGAAACCAAAAAATTTTCAAACAATAAATGGCCTTGGCCATCTAACGAGCATGATGGATTGGGCCAGGAATTTTAAAATAAATTCCATGCAAATGTTAGGGTGTGATATTTTATACTTACCATGCAGAAATCACATTTATGAAATTATATTGAAAAGTGTTTTTGAAGTAAAATTTAATACGTCATCTGAACCAGATGTTTTCAATATATTCCAAAAGTCTTGGCAAAATATAAATAAAACAAATTACTTAAGTGGAATAGAAGATACTGTTATTTTAGAAAAATAAAAAACAAAAAAAAACGATATTTTGAAATTTAGTTTTGAACAATTACAAAAATACCAACCTCGAGATGACTTTTAGAATTGGTCATAATA